CTGGGCTCCCCGTTCTGGGTGGTGGGCATACCAGCCCAGAAGATTAATGAGAAGGGAGGGGAGCGAGAAAAGGAAAGAAGAAAAATTGCTGCCCATTATACCTGTCCTTTGGCAAGGCCGGGTAATTAGCAAACCCTCAGCAGTAAAATATTTCGTTTTGGTGTAATTGCAAAGTAATTATGTGGTATGGGTTGTGTATCAATCGTGTTGATTAATAACACTCAGGTAGTAATTAAACATCTGCTTCATAATCGTGTGCAGGCTGAAGCTCAACATACATGCACTCATGCACGCGTGCAAAGCTCCTTGGTCACCATGGAGAGAGAGAGAGAAAGAGAGAGAGAGAGAGAGAGCGCCTGGGTGAGTTAAGACCCCTCCCTTCCCTATCAGACCTTGAGGTCTTTCTGTCCCCATCCTCCCCTGGGACACAGGGAGGAACTGAGCTGGCCCCCGGGGCTGTGCCACCCTGAAGCCCCTCTCAGAACAGAACCTTCCCTTCCTCCCGTGTATCTCTTTCCCAGCTGAGCTGCCTGGCCCAGTGGTTGGCATAGGGTTCACAGGCACCATACAGGACCACGTACTGGAGTGTCTTAGAACTCACTGTGTAATAATCCGTGTTAGACCGGCTGCTTCTAGGCTCCTTTCCTGGGCAGGTTACTTTTCCCAGCAGCCAGCTGCTCTGAGGCTCACCTAATACCCCCGCATACCCTTTAGGCCTGGATTGAAGGATCTGATCCCAGAGGCTCCAGGGACCAGAGCAGGACTCGGGGAGGGAGCAGGAGCCCTGTTCTGGCTTGGATCCCACCCACTGGCTCATGTTGGTCAAGTTGCTCTCCTCTTTCCCTCAGGTTCCAGGTCCATCCAACAAAGAAAACTGAGCTTAGCGGCCTCCAAGGGCCTTTCCAGATCTGCTATATGCAGATCCTACTTTGGTTTGTACTAATTAGGAATCGGAGACAATTTAAATTCAATACATCCGGTCCTTAGTGAGTAAACAATCAGAAATAATTCCTTCCTTTATGACTTCTCAAAGACTCACTCATGAGCAATGAGAACCCAAGCTAAAATCAATAGCTTTTATTTCTCAGACAGAGAAACGGCAGAATCCCTGAGCTGCTGGGCACTGCAATTCATTCTTGTATTTTAAATTTTTATGTTTATGTTTATGGACTGCCATTAGGTAATACCGATCTATCCCGAAGGTTGACTTTTTTCATTAACTTAACTCATTTTACTTATTAGTTCACATTTATAGCTTGGGTTTAATAAGCGCATAGTGCAAAAGTCATAAAACAGCCCTTTTTAAAAGCAATATTTTAAAATCGAGTCTCTTCTCTGAGTCATCCCAGTTTTATTTGCTCATAACTTGTTTCTCCTGTGATTTGAGGCCCAGCGGTGCCAATCCCAGCCAGGCATTTGCCTTGAGCTGCAGCACCTCATCTGCAATAGGGAAGGGCACCGCTGATTAATAAAAGCAATAAAAGCAATAAATGCTTACATTTTAGAAAGTAAGCATCCAACAATCACTCACTGTGTTTCAAGTGCTTCTCATATATCATACTAGAGGCCCAGTGCACAAAATTCGTGCATGGGAGGGGGGTCCCCTCAGCCCAGCCTGCACCCTCTCACAATCCAGGATGGCTGGCTCCTAACCGCTTGCCTGCCTGCCTGCCTGATCACCCCTAACCACTCTGCCTGCCTGCCTGATCGCCCCTAACTGCCTCTGCCTCGGCCCCCACACCTGGGACCCAGGCTTTCGTCCTCCAGCCAGCCACAGGCAACCAGGACCCAGGCTTCCCTCCCTCTGGCCACAAGCACCCAGGACCCAGGCTTCCCTCCCTCTGGCCGCAGGCACCCGGGACCCTGGATGGCTTCGCCTGGGCCCCAGCTTTGTTAGGAAGGACATCCAGAATGACATCCAGAAGACATCTGGTCTATCCGTCTAATTAGCATATTACCCTTTTATTAGTATAGATTGTCTGGTTGAATCCTACCTCCCTAGGAAGTGGCTTTATTATTATTTTTTCACTTTATAGAGAAGGAAACTGAGGCCCAGAGAGGTTAAATGACCTGCCTGAGGCCACACAGTTGATGACAGTGGTAGAGCTGGGATGCAAACCCAACATGTTTAAGTCCAGTCACCATCTTTCCCCCGATATCTGTCTCCCTCTCCCACCCACCCTTTCATCATCTCTTTACTCTCCACCTCTACCACCAGGCCCTTCCCATCCTCCTTTCATTCTCTCATCTGTTTCCACTTGCTTGGGCTCCCTCCTACTTTTTATCTACCTGGAGAATACCTCTGCTCTATGACCTTCAGTGGCTCCCCATTGCCTATGGATGAAGTTTCTCATCCTTAGCCTAGCATCATTCAAGGACCTTACCCCTCCGGCCCCTGCCTTCCCTCCCTGTCTCATTTCCTAGGCAGTCTTGGCTCATGGTCCTGGATACCCACCCCACACGTGGGTACCTCCATGCTTTTGCTCACCCTGGTCCCTTTGCCCATGGTGTCTTCCTCTCCTCTCCATACGTTCAAATCTGCCCCCTCTTTCAGAAAGCCTTCCCGGGGCTCAAAGAAGGGGCCCCTCCCTTCTCTGAACTCAGAACCAAGTGAAGAGCCCTCCTCAGCCTCCTTGAACTATGAAAACCAGGGCACTTAACCTTCCCTTCTCCATAACAGTGAGCTCCTTTGGAGGTGTAATTTGTGCCTCACTCATCCCTGGCACCTTCTGCGTACTGGATATACAGCAGGTGTTTAATTAATGCTCACCAACATGAGTGAATGCTCATGTTGCTTGTGATCTTCAGGAAAATGCCTGTGTCTTCTCTGTGGCATTCAGGGCCAGCCCAGTGCAAGGGAGCACTGTCCACATTTTACCAACGTTCAGTGTAAAGCGCTGATCACAGGACTTTTCCATCTCATTTCCTGCTCTGCCCGAGGCCCCAATCTGGGTATCTCTGTGCCTTTGCTCACCCTGGCCCCCCTGCCCACAGCACCCTCTCTCCTCTCCAGATACACACGTCTGCCCTCTACTCCAGGAAGCCCTAATGTGCCTGCTGGGGTCATCAGGACATTGGGGGAGGAGGGGCCTTACTTTGGTGTCTCTGCCTGTGAGTTATTAGAGCTCTGGCTTTAGACCTGGCCCTGAGAGACTGCAGGGACCAGTGGCAGGTCCAACACCCCCTCTCACAGGGAGAAGCCAGGGCCCCATGGAGGAGAAGGTGTGCCTGAGTGCTCACATCCTGGGACGGGACCCCAGGACTGCTGCCTGCAGGTCCATGGGGCCTCCTGCTGTCACCTCCTGGGAATGAAGCCCCCGCCCCGCCAGCCATGGGTCTGTTAATGGGGTGGGTGGTCTGCTTCTCCTAATAGGTGTGAGGGAGCATGGACTGGGGTGTAAACGAAAGATGGAGGCTGGGGGTCACCCCCGATGAGCCACTTCATCAAGGGTATAGGGAGGAGGCCCGGAGAGGCTGACACACACATGCCATCCGGATGGGGCTGGAGCCGGGAGCACGGGCGGCCACAGTGAGCGCGTGAGAACGGCACAGCTGCATAGCAAGCTGCTAAGACCGTCTCCGCTGTCACCTCTTTCCTGCAGCCATTCCTTTCTTTCTCTATCAGACCCTCTTGGAAAAAGCGGAGAATGCCACCTCTCCTGGGGATTTGTCCCACCCCACCCGCCCCTCTCCAGTTCTCACGCGCTGGCTGCCGTCTGGTGTGACATTAGCATTCACCAGCTTGCAGAGCGCTAATGACATTTGCATTTTGCTGGCTGGTGAAATGTGGGCAGGGGCTTGGGGTCCCGTGGGCAGGTGGGGAGTTTGCAGCCCAGAGGGAGAAGCAGATAGGGTGGGTGCGGGCCCACACTGGTCCCTGAGAGGCAGGGAAGAGGGGTCCCGGTCGATCAGAGGGAACAAATAACTGGTGGAATGAGAGGGTTTTGTCTAAAGATGTGCCGAGGACAAAAAGCAACTCCCAGTCCAGTGCCCCACCTCCCCCGCAGGCACTCACTGCGTTCTCTCCTGTGTTGCCTCCCTAACATTTATTGAGCGCTTGCTGTATGCCAAATGCTCTACTGAAGGCTTTACAGACTCATGGAAGCCATTTTTACTCCCTGCAGTTCTTGAAGATAATGCTGTCATTCTCCCTGTTTTACAGACCTGGAGACTCACGCCCTGAGCTGCCCAGGGCCCCACTTCTGGAGAGAGGTTGCCCCAGGATGGGGCGAGATCCACCTGCCTCTGAAGCTTATGCTACTGTGGGCATTGCCTCCCACACCTTGTCCCGGCTTAAGCACAGCCAGGAAACCCTCCTTGGCCCTGGCCTTTCCCAGCATGCACCTGACAGGCAGGCAGCAGACCCTGGCTGTGCGCCCTGGGCTGCTCCAGGGGCTGCAAGGCTGACAACTGCAAAGAAGGGAGCATCCCTGGAGAGAGCACCCAGCCACGAAACCGGAGAGACCCCAGGTGTAGGCCTCACTCTGCCACCAACTTGCTGAGTGACTTTGGACAAGTCACTGCCCCTCTCTGGGTGTCATTCTCCTTGTTGGTAAAACGATGCCGCTGGGCTGGCTCAATGGAGCATTCCAGGAATGCATGTGCACATGAGCAAGGATCTTTCCTCCAATGCACTTGAACTCTCCCGCAGTTCCCACCCCCTCGCTTGGACGTATAAAATTATGTTTTACATTCAAGCAAGCCATGAACATTTGTCGAGCATCCCCACTCTGCAAAGTGCACTGTGCTAGACGCAGCGAGATGCTTACGTATTTTTTTTCGGGCGTACACACAGGCATATGCATATCTTTGCGTCTTAGAATTGTCTGGCTTCCCAGTCCTGATGCGTAACCTCAGACTCCTGCAGTCTTTGCCTCATCACACGGCCTCCCCGGGGTCCAGAGAGCATTTCAAACAAAAACAAGAGACCTCAGGCAGCGTGAGCCAGTAAGCCCTCCCCCAACGAGGCCGTCACGGCTGGCTCTGTTTGTCTCTGACAGGTGGGCATCTCCTGGACAGCACGGAGCTTGCAGTGGCAAGAGCTTCTGGCACTGTCGTCAAAGCGACGTGAACCCTTTGAATTTGGCTTCTAGAAACGTGGACACAACCCTTTTCCAGACGCCAGCCACTGAGGTAAGGGAGTTCAGGCTTGTTCCGCACGGGGCGTTATGCTGTTTTCGTTGTTGTTGTTGCTAGTGGTAACTGTCAGCAGGGCACCCTCTCATTCTTTGTCATGGGGCCCTGATTTAGTCCCTTCTTTAGCAGGAGTGGCTAAGGCTCTAAAGTCCAGCAGACCAGGGTTCAAATCCTGGAATCACCAGTGTTTAGCTGTGTGGCCTTGAGACCTTTCTGTGTCTCAACCCCCTCCTCAGTCAACCAAGGAAGCAGTAGCACCCACTTTCTGGGTTTGTGGTGAAGATAAAATAAGGTAACACGTGAAAAAGACTGAGAACAGGATGGGCACCCAGTAAGCTCAGGACCCAGGACCCAGTTACTGTACTAGTCGTGAGCCTGCCCTGTCAGCTTGTCACTAGTTGATTCTCGCATGGATGGAGTGGAGTCCACATTCACACTGGAATGTAGACTCGGTGAGGGCAGGGGCTTGTCTGTTGTAGGTGAATCCCCAGATCCCAGCAGAGCAAATTGGCCGTTGTTTGTTGACTGCATGGATGCGTGAAGATGCTTTATCTAGATTGTGCACAATCCTCGAAGGTCCTTGCATTAGTTGGGATATGGGTTTGGTTGTGTGTGACAAAATCCCAAAGTCACGGCTCCTTAAACAAAAGAGAGGATGCTTTTTCCTAAGTACCACTGAGCTAAGGGGTTTCTTCTCCACAAAAGCGTGAGAGGCCAAGTTTCCTTCTGTCCTGTGACTCCTCCATCACTTGTCTACGTGATCCGCGATGGCCCACGGTGGTGTCGGTCTCCATTCTGCTCAGCAAGAGGGGCAATCAGAAAAGGAGAGGGTGCCCCATCCTTTAAGGGGGTGCACATGTCACTTGCATTCGTGTCCCACTGGCCAGAATGTAGATATATGACACACCTGGCCGCAGGGGAGACTGAAAGTTAGAGTCTTTATTCTGGATGGCCATCTGCCCAAGTACAATCTTCAGAAAAAGGAGGAAGGAATGTGGGCAGACAAAACAGCGGATGCTCCCTAGCGGGCAGGGGGCGGGGATAGGGAGCAGGCAGGAGGGCTGATTTGTCCCAAGCAGGTCCTGCCTGTGGCCTCTCACAGGTAGACCTCGGTTTCGTGGATCTGGTATCTGGAAGCCTGATTACACACACGCACACACACACACATTCACATACACAGAATCACACACATACACATACGCAGAATCACACACATTTACATACACACAAACACACACATTTATATACACACACATACACAAAAACACATGCCCACACATATACACAAACACACATACACCTCACCATCTCAGCCACCCCGTATCAGGTTGCCTTGGGTTCCCCTCCACTTGCTCAAAGGATCTTTTCCTTCTTCCCTTTGCCCCATTCCCACCCCACCCCCACCCCCTGGCTGGGTAAAGTTTCTTGAGCTATTTTAGCATTTATTTGCTCTCAGTGGCCCCCAGAAGAGCAGCTATAGCCGCCCCCCACCCCACCCCCCTGCCCTCAGCCACCACTTCCTGGGGCCTCTGAGAGGGAGGGGAAGAGGGAAGGCACTGACTGAGCGGGAGCCCATCTTCCAGGGCCCCAGGGGCCTGTGTGGGGTTCCAGGGCACAGGCAAACGGGCCAGCCTCGCAGCCCCAGCTGACGTCCACTGTGGCAGCCTCTGTGATGCATTTAGGGTGCGGTGTATGATTTCATTTGAAAAAAAGATTGCTCTGCAGAAAAAAATAGATGGCAAACCACAGCATATGCTTCTGCCTCCTAGGCAACTGGCCGAGTGCTTTTTAAGATCTGTCCTTTGCTTGATTTGGGTCAACCACAAACCTTCTTGGCCTTCATCTCTCTCTCTCTCTCTCTCTCTCTCTCTCCCCCCCCCCCCGCCCCCGTGTCTCTCTCTCTCTCTCTCTCTCTCTCTCTCTCTCTCGCTCTCTTTCTCTCTCCCCCCCCACCCCCTATGGATTCTGCAGCTCTGACTCATCAGGCAGACAGCTCAGTGTTCAGCATCACCCTGCCTTATATGGTGTGCTCAGTGCTCCTGGGGCAATGAGTATTCATTCATTCCTTTCTTCAGCCACTGACTGTTGAGTTCTTATTATGTGCCAGGCACTGTTTCATTTGCTGGGGGTTGAGGGGGAGCAAAGCTGAAAGGCCCCACTCTCAGGGAGTCTGCTGAGGGCAGGACCCCTCCTCTGCGTGTCTTGCCCCCAGTCCCTTGTCCAGTGTATCAGTCAACGCTGAATTACAGTCACACTTGGTGGATGTGTGTCAGTTACTTTTCACACTATTATAATCCTCATCCAAGAATATATTTTTTCCATTGAATTTTTTAGAGAGAGTGAAAGGGAGGGGAGGAAGGACGAGGGAGAGAGGGAGAGAGAGAGAGAGAGAGAGAGAGAGAGAGAGATCCATGTGAGAGAGACACATCAATTGATTGCCTTCCGCATGCGCCCAACCAGGGCCAGGTATCGAATCTGCAACCCAGGTACATGCCCTGGACCAGGAATCGAACTCATGACCCTTTAGTACACGGGCTCCTGGAGCTTTGCATAAGCCCTCCCTTTCCATGCTGGGGCTGAGGTTACAGGGAAATGCTGGAGAGTCCACCCCAGTGAACTGGCCTGGCCTTGTACCTAGGTGGTTTGAAGGGATGGATTGAATTTCCTGGCTCAGCATTATGCAAACTAAAGTATTTTGGAGAAGATTGGCTCACCACTGGGCATGGATTATACGGCTATGCTTCATTCTCACCTCTTTTAATGCCTCTGGATCCCGAATCGCAAGGAGTTTGGATATTTCTGAAGGACGCAAAGCCTACATATTGGAAGGTGCGCAGGGTCCAATCCGCCTTGTGCTCACCTGGTCCTTTGCTGGTGGCTGTGAGCCTCTCACCCTCCGTAGTCGCCAGCATCCAGCGCAGAGCCGGGCACGCCGGGAGCTTCCATCAGTGGTTGGTGAAGGGTGGACAGATGGCCGGATTACAGTGGATTCACTGTAATACTTGCTCTCCTAGCCTCAGTCCAAGTGTCCAAGGTGGTTGGAGGCACCAGTAACAGTTTGATTTTGGCTCCTGTGCAACATTAGTAGTTTCCAAGTCATGGAGGGGACGCAAAACAAATGGCTTTTGGACTTGTCAGTTTCTCATTTCAGTCGTGGGAGGCGGCGTGGCGTGTGCCCTGATGTAAGGATGAGAGCTTGCTCAGACCCCAGCTCCGAGGCGGGGTGGCCTCGGGCATGTTATTTTGTCTCTCTTAAATTCTATTTTCTCATCTAGAAAATGATGGCTCTAATAGCAGCCAGCTCCCGGGGCTCTGATGAGCATTAGATTAAATAATGGGTGTTAAGACGAGGAGCAGAGCTCTGAGCACGTGGGGAACGCTCAAGAGAGGATGCTGTTGGCCTATTTAATGACCCCCTTAAGCTAGTTGCTGCATATACTTCTTTCTTCCAGACATATTTTTGCAGACTGCTTTGCACTTTTAAGACACAAATTATTTTTTTAAAGTTGTTATTTCAGAAGTAAAACATGCTCCTTAAAAATTCAAACGATCCAGAGAGACTTAAATTAAAAAGCAAATGCAGCCCCCGACACCCAACCCCTGCCCTCATGGCCAGCTCTCTCATTCCCTTTCCCAGCAGTGTTCCAAAATCGGAGCTTTTCTCCTTTTTTTCTTCGTAAGGACAGCGGACAGGTATGCAGTTAGGAGGGGACAGTGGCCAGTCCAGGCCCGAAGTCCCGAGGCTGGTGCCTCGGTGGTCCTGTTGGACCCAGGCACTGCCTGTCCTCTGGGCAGCCTGGCATCTCTGACTCCTGTTTGCTCTGACCTGGAGGATCCCCAGTGTCCTGAGGCCAGGGGGGTGGTGTGAGGCGTGCCACATAGGGCCAGGCCTGGAGGGACAGGTGCACCGACACTGTGTCTGGTCACATGCCCGGGACCCTTCTTCTGTCAGAGCCCCAGGGCCCAGTCCAGTTTCAGATGCCTTGTTCCTGGCAGGGTGATCGCTCACTTCCACACCTGTGCCCTCGGCTGCCACTCTCCTTCCCTCATCAGGAAGGGGCCAGGGCCTACCCAGCACACGGCCCAGAGCATCATGGACTGGGGCAGGTTTGAGTTTTACCAACACGAGGGTGCAATCTGCCCCCTGCCTTTATTTCTCTAGATCTGACTGTCGCTGAGCCACCTTTGCCCATTTGAAGGACATTCGATCCCAGTCACATTGGGGAGGGAGGAGACTGGCCCCCTAGGATTGTGTAGGAAACTTGGGGGCCTTTGCGTGACCCAGAATATTGGGGGGAGGCTGCCTGGCTTCAGTGCACTCAGGACCCCACAGAGAGGCTCACTTGCCAAGCCTCAGGGCCCAGTGAGGGCAAGTGGGCGGCAGCCATTTCCATGCCAACCTAGGCGTGTGGTCTTTGGTTGCACCTGCAGGCCAGGAGTTTGGGTGTTTAGAATCCCAGCCTCTCTCAGGCACCTCAGGGTCCTGTCACCTCTTGGGAAGGCTGTTCCGGGATCAGGGCGTTTGAGCCTGTAGCTCTTGGATCCCACAAAATCCACTTCTCCTTGTTGACTCCAGCAATGCCCCCCAACCCTTTCCCCAGCCTTTGCCTCTGCCCCTCCTCACAGGCTCCACCCTTGTGTGCTACCTCCTGGGGCTCCAGCCTGTCTTCCTAGGCCCAGCGATCTCTGTGCTGACCTTGGAGACAGCAGTCCCCAGGCGTAGGACCTAGTGATTAACCACCATCTTGGAAAGGGAGGGACACTGCCCACAGCAGAGAGAACAAATCAGAAAGATGGTCTCCGCACGTTCTCCTGCCACCACATCGGCTACAACAGGTGAAACAGCACCTTCCACCCATTTGTTTATTGAGCAGCAACTATGCCAGACTCTTTCAGAGACTGAAGGTGAAATGCCACCCAAGGTGGACCTCAAAGAGATTAGGGTTTAACTAGCGGTTCTCAGATATGGTCCCCACACCAGCAGCCTCAGCACTGCC